CCCCCCTGCATTTGTGGAAAAAGCAAAGAGAAGTGGAGCCCTTAGGAACAGGGGTTGACACACACAGGTAGCCGATGTCGGCGCATGCACATGGAACGGTGGCATCTTCTGCTTTTTCTTAAAAAACGCCGGCATGCTGTTGGGTCATGTCCTTTTTGGACGTACAGCCGGATAGGTGGAAATGTGAACTGACGTTTCCTGTACATCTTGGAAGTCGAAGTGCTATGACACATCCTTGAAATCAAAAGTGCAGCTGCAACAAATTCGGAGTAACAAGCTCTTGCAAGCATGTCGATATCAAGTCTGGAGACACAGAATATCCGTAGAAGCCCGGCGGCTTTGAATTCTGACAATTCAGTAGTGACACGGAGGCAGTTAACGTGATCCACGATGAAAAGACAATGATTCAGTAACACGATTTCCGGCATGAAAACGGCGCCTCCTTGCGGAGGATCACACCCAGCACCCAAGTGGGACGGCTGAGCGGTTCACACTCTGACATTGGTTTTCAGTTAGCTCAGTTCCCAGGTGGAAAGAAGGTGAGAGAACGGCAAGGTGGAGAGTCCGAAAAAATTGTAGATGTTTGAACAAGTGGTTTATGCGCATCTGCAGAACTCACGACGGCAGCTCACGGCGGCTCAGTGAAAGTTGGGAAGGGAGAAGGGTTTAGGGGAAAGTATCATGAAGGACCATGAACCAAAACGTGGAAAGTGGAGTCACAGCTTGGAGAGAACTCAGCAGGTACACAATGCGGAGTCCCGCATTGCTTCACCACGAACTGACAGCGTCTTCGTTGGGCAATGTCTGTCAGTCGTGCATTGCCCCCCTGCATTTGTGGAAAAAGCAAAGAGAAGTGGAACCCTTAGGAACAGGGTTTGACACACACACACACACACACACCCAGCCAGTAAGGCGACTCTGCTTCGCGCATCTCCAATCAGCTTCCAATCCTTCACAGTGCTTTCAATCATATGTCGGGTGTCGCTTGCGGTGCAAGACAAGCATCCTAATCATGACTGTGACCTCACATTTCCCCATTCTGCTTCCCAGAGGCTCATGGACCCTCAAACTGCTACAGGTTGGTTTGGTTCAATACTAGTTGTGAGGGTCCAAACCCTAGCGGCCCTAGCGAACAGGTCAGGTCCTTTGTGAGGCTTTGGTCAGTAGCTGTCTGGGCGTCCAGGCCTCTGGGTTAAGTAGAGCAAATGAAATGTCGAAATTCCAAGGATACTCGCAACTATAAAATGTGGAAGGAGTGTGAATTTGTGAACTGTGATGTCCATGCACTTCCAGACGTGTCCCAATGGCGGCTTGCCAGGCACCATATGGCAGTGGGCAGTGGGTCAAAACAGGAGGCCCTGGTCCCTCGCCAATGACTTTTGGTGTGAAGGTTTACTGCCAGATACCGAGCTTGCTGGTACACTTGAGGGTATCCCCTTCCTTTCCAAACAACCAAGCAAGTCCACCAAAGGACAACGCTACTCCCCGCCGCTCCCATCCGACTGAAGCCGCATGTGGGGCCTGTGAACAAGGTGGAAGCAGCGGCAGCAAGGGGCTGCGCAGGCTGTGTTGCCATGCATGGAGGCCTCAGAAGGCACCCACAAAGAAGACCATCAATCTGACAAACACATCAAAACCACCCTCTGCCTTCACTCATTTTCGGGTGTGTAGCTCAAATAGAGAAGTCTCAGGGAAATAGACAGATCTACACATTGGGGTAGGGGATCACATTGGGGTAGGAAGTACACACCCATTGTATATCAAGACGAAGACAAACACACACTCTGACGAACGCATCACATGGAAATGGAGTTCCCCCTGGTTTGTACTCTTCTTAGTGCAATTCCTTTAGTGGGTCAGAGTGTAGTAAAGCAAGTACAAGTGCTTTGCAAAGAAAAAGGACAAAACAAACCTGGTTCATGTTGAAATGGCATACCAACACTCGAAATTGTCCTCGTTGTGATTCAAAAAGAGGAAAACAGTGGCTTCCATCCCCTTCCATTGTTGGATCAGCGCTCGAGTAGTATACTTGTTACCGATACCTCAAAACTACCCTGCACAAAGAACACCCTGAAAACCGCAGAGTAAGTGAAAAATTGTTTCTGCGACTTCCAGCCCCGCCCGGCTTGTGCTCGCCTCACGGGCGTGCCACGGTGGCAGCGCTGTCAGCGGTGTGTTCGGAAACGAAAAACGTTGGGTTCAGAATCTGTTCGCGCTGGGGTCCCAAATCAATTATAAAGCAACATGCTCTTCAGTGCACGTTTAAGCAGTTGCTCTTCATAGCACGTCACGTCAAGATACGTCCACACCACCTGTCCACGCACAAATAGTCTCTGAACACGGAAAAAGCCAAGCTTCTGAGCCCGACCAAACGAGTTTCTGAACCCAAGAAGTTTCCGAACCCTAGTTTCTGAACCCGCGGACTTTGTCAAATGACATAATCATAACTAACTTATGACATGCCTTCACATCACGCCACTGCAAAAAAAAGCTTCCAACACATGTAATGATGTGTTCCAACAGGAACACCTGAAGGGAGTGGATAATGTCTTGGCCTTGATCATGTAACGTTGTGGTTTTCTTCAATGAAAACGCTGCTTTAGAGAGGTCATGCTCAAAGTTAAGGCCGGATAAATGTTTACACCATGGAACACCTGTTGCCATCTTCTGCCAACCGTTTGAACGCTCCTAAAGAGTTCCGTAACATCTACAGTACACATATTTACTGCTTTTGCTTTACAAGTCGAGGGACCACATGATTTCAGATTCCCCGGGCGGGCGAGTGCCGTGAGACCATCCAATTGCTGTCCCGCGACTCAGCAAGAAGACCAGCAAAGGCTTCAAGAGTGGACCATCGCTGTCCACCTTGGGAGCCCAACGATGCTTTCGAACAATCAGGGGGAAGCAAGGGACTGAAAAACAACCGCTGGACATCATGACATGGCGTGTCCGATTAAGCAAAATGCTACACTCACATGAATGTATAGTTGATCTTGCGTCGTGAACCAGGCTGAAAGGTCCATTCACCTTGTCAAGGGACAATGCGTCACGAGGCTGCGGGGCATAGTTGTTAAGCCCATGAAAGGAACCGCTTCACGCGAAGAGTCTGCCGAACCCTGCAGGATCTTCGAGCTGGGTATCTAGCTTTCACCCTGACCCACGACCTCACAAATATGCAGGGGTTGCATTAGGGCCCCTAAACCGCAACACCCCAGGAGTAGTTTTAAGCTATTCTGGAGGCATGTGGGATAGGTTACTGATATCTGTTCTGCATGTCATCCACGTTCGGACTAGTATCCTGCAGTCGCTAGAAATATATATGCAAAAAAACTACATAAACTGGTGCGTTTGTAGATGTTTCTATGCTTGAGACTCAGCCACATTCAAGCACGCCGTCAAAAACACTCACGTCCACAATGCACATCAAACATCTTGGCCATGGCTTAGTTAGTGGTTTTTATCACGAACTTCGTCTGGATGTTCCAAATCATGACTTCAAAGTTTTAGTTGGGATATTTTTGGTATGAAAGTATTCTGGAAGAAGCTGACACCCCATTATTACCCCGCCTTGTTGACAGTTTGCTCAAATCACAATTCTCAAGCTATGTTTCGGCCCATTGAGCCCCGCTCTGGAAAAATTATTAGTGGAGGAGTGGAGCCCCTATGCAAATAATTTCGATTATATAATCTGGAGGTTTCCGAACAAGTTCCTTCTTGATTCTTGACTGGGCCGCAGTTCTTCCGCAATACTCATGTTGAAGAACTCCAAACCCAATTTCTGTAGATCCGGTGCGATCGGACCGATCCGTGCGCTTTCGGGACGTCCGGACCGCATCGTTGATGAGCTGGCGAAGATGGCCCAGTCTTCCATCCTGCGACTCCAGGGAAAATGGCAGTGATGCGCCCATTTTGGAACGAACCACCCTTTTGGGGATGTTGGCCACGGGCTGCCCTCCTGAACCTGTGAAGGTCCATTTTCTGAGCACCTAGAAAACAATATAGTTTGGACAAGAGCAAGGCGATTATGGGACAAGTCCGGCCGGGCTCCTCAGGGTTTCATTTCGAATGCTCTCCACCCTCAAAATCTCCCCTCCACAAGCTCCACATAGGAGTCTGGCAGTAGAAAAACTCTCAAACCAATCCATGGGCAGGTGGTGTTGATGAACATTTTGGCTGTGAACAAGAATCAGAAAGAGAACAGCAAGCTCTGGAGCCTCCCAGCAATTTCTTTCAGATGGCTTGCTTGGAGTGCAGTGAAGTTTGGACAGGCGCGTAACCATTTGGCCTAGTCTGTTATTGTACTAGACACCCGGAAAAAGAAACAAACAAATTCTTGCCGACAAGCTCCATTACAGCACTTTGCTCATCTAACACTAACCGCCGTTGTCATGATTGATTGACATGAATCTACAGAGATATATCGGTGTGGCTGGAAACTGGATTCCGTAAGGGGTTGAATCTGAGTTCAAGTTTTCCCAGCAGCTAGGTCCTAACACTCACTACAATATGCGGTTGAGTCATGTTGAATGTAAATTTCGCAAGACATGAATGGTTTTAGTCCGATTGCAAGGTATCCTGTTGGTGTTCTTCCATGAAAGGAACTGGAAAGTGGTTTCTTCATCCTGTGCGGCGGATCCCTTGGAGCAAGAGCGTCGTCACTTTGGCTCTGGCTCTGCCTTGACCCACTGTTTTTTCAGCGGTGCAGCAGCCTGATCCGCAGAAAGCAGGCTGTTGCTTCAAAATGGTTTTGGCACATGTGAGCGATACAAACCTCAGGTCCCCGGCAAGAACTCGCAATTTTTGGCGATGGTTCGAAGAGACGTCTGCTTTCTGTGTCATGGTCAGAGACAACGACTATAGTGACTACCTGTAACCTGAAACGACCAGTTATAAACAGATGCTTGGTCAAACGTCCACTTCTGCCCAAACGTCCATTTCCAATTCTCAAGGATGAAGCGCATCACATTCTTCAATAGAATCACAAGATTTGTGCAGGGATCCCATCCAGTTTTGATCACCACACCACAATCCACCCCTCTTCAATATACTACTTTCCTCACACGCCACCGCCCCGATTCGCTGTGTCTTTCTCTGCGCGATCTCCATCGAGCTCTTTGCTGGAGTTGATGTGCCGTGCGCCTCCGGGGATGGTGTGTGCAGGCAGTTGATGGGGAATGTAACTCTAAAGAATGTATGGGTTAACCTTTCCTGCGAGGTTCTGCAAGATGTGGTGCGACTAATATCGGTATATGACACGGCGTGTATTCTGCAGCATTCTGGCTGGGGGTAAACAGCCATGACTATGTCCGAGCCACCAACCAAAGAAAGTTGTTCATATGCCGTGCCATGTGTTGAGTTTTGGGAGTCGCAGCGCGGGCTTTGCAAGCTTGCAGTTCAGCGGAAGTCATTGGTCAAGGAAGCCGAGGGCAAGGCAATAGTTCACCCTTCGTTGCCTAACCTGCGCCTGAACTACCTTCTTTTGAAGGGGTACACCAAAACAATGAAGGAGAAGGGCGTCATCTTGACCAAACACATGACATATATCCTACCAGCAATCAGTGACTTCTATGAGTCGATGGACCCCGAGCTTGATACTAAGCTTGATGGCCCCAGAACAGTGATCTATGGCACGGCCGCTGTCGTCAAAAAAATGCTGACAGTCATCAAACGGAAATGGAGAAAGTGGGAGCTGCCTAGGGTTGCTGGGACTAATGACATTATTTTTTGCTTCATTTTCACGGTTCTTCAAGCGTTCAAGTGAATGGGGCACCAAGGGGTTTAGCTTACGTTGAGCCATCGTCAGATTAGGACAAGTACATTCGTGAATTGGTCTATGACCTGGCAGCTGCTCACAGCAAGGCATATGAGGACACCTGACATATGAACGTTCAATTTGTACAAAGTAGATCGATTTTTCACGCAACTGTAGATCTGCATGAGAAACTTATGCATGGGTCCACACTCCACACTGTGCCCCATCATGTAAGGAGGGACGTTCTCCGTTTCTATTCGAGGATGAGGATGATGAGGGCAGTGATGCTGGGGATGAACCTGAATCCCCCCAGCCGTCTAACTTCATCCTTCAAGAAGCCCTCTCCCGTAGCAATTCAGAGCTCGAGGCCCTTGAAGCATTCGAGGAGTTGGCGGGATTAGCTAGTCAGGACGCTGAGGCCATGGGGGATGACGAATCCAAGGGGGCTGGTCGAGATGCTCTGAGCTCTACAGCCGCCAGCTCTGCCAAGATAGATCCCAAAGCAATCTCCGCTTTGCTGACGATGGTCAAGGCCAAAATGAAGAAGAACCTAGCTTCAATTAACAAACATAGCCTTTTGAAACTCATTTGTATACTTAGCGTATATGGGTGCTGTTATTACATCCCTTGGCCTCAGCCTAGGACAGACGACGGAGCTTTGCCGGACGCAAGTGGTGCTGGGGCCAACGCCGCAACTAGTTTACCGGGTGGCCATGGAGTTTCGAGTGGAGGTACAGGTTTCTTAGCAATTCTTAAGTCTTGTGTGCCCCAAATGGTTGATACAGTATGTTCTTCAAGTATGCGGCGCTGCGTAATATATCTTGAGTGCAGCCAACCTTAGGCACGCGCGCCGACAACCTAGAGACACAGGTGGTGGATGAGCTAGAGAGCGAACTTCGGAACGAGCAGGGCAAGTCCAAACCAGGTGGCGGCAATGAGGATCTCGACAAACTTTGGGGTTGAGTGGTTTTGGAAAACTTCAGAACCACGTCGCGGTTTCTATTTCAATGTTTTTGAATGTCGATCCCGTTGCACACATCACACCTTGCCTGCAGGAGAGTGGATTTGTCAGCCGGGAAGACCAACTCAAGTTGCAGCAGAAAGTAGACAAGAAGAAGGAGGCAAAGGAGAAGGGAGAATCAGAGGAGAACCAGAAGAAGACAAAAGAGGCGAAGGAGAAAGAAACGAAGACCAAAAAGAAAAGAAATGATGATGAGGATCAGGAACCCATGGAAGAGGAGCCTGAGGGCAAGAGGGCCAGGAAGAGTGAAGGAAAGCCGAAACACCCCCCCAAACCTGTCAAGACAAAGAAGAAAGAGGAAACGGAGGAAGAGGAAGAGGAATCAGAAGAGGAGGAGGAAGGGGAGGAGGAGGAGGAGGAGGCAGTTTCCGATTCTTCTTCAAATTCAAGTTCTGTCAAAGTGAGGAAACGCCCTGGTACGAAAGGTAAGGCAAAGGCAAAGGCAAAGGCAAAGGAGAGAAAGAAGAAGGCAAAGAAGACTAAGAAGAACCCAAAGGGCAAGAAGGGCAGGAAGGACGGCAAGGGCAAGGAACCCAAACCCAAGGTAGCCCCCAAGAAGAAACCCAAAGACAAAGACGGCCCCCAGAAGAAGGCAGGAGAAAAGGCTACCTTTGCGAAACGCTACCGCCCAACCTCAAAGCAGAACAGCTTGAAATTTGACCGGATTCGTGATGTGTACAATGTCGACTTGCGCAAGTATTTGACGGGTCATACTTGGTGCGAGGACTGGTTCGCATGCCAGCAACAAGTTTTTTTTTAAGCCGCGTATGTCTCACCAATATAGTATATATTCCATGGGTGCCTGATAGGAGAACTGGTGGCTTTTTTGTGAACATCATTGGGACCATGCCGATGAACAACACAGTTTGAAGGATGTGATCAATCAGGAACTGGCTCACGAATTCCTGCGCCAGCCTGAAATGAGCAACTTGTAAGTTTTCAATGGTGTTTATAGTCAAAAAGAATCCATGAGAGATTGGGCCTAAGAACACGGTACCTTAAGCGGTTATAATATATCCCACCCTGCTGGTATGGTATCCGTTTCCTTAACTAAGGCGAGAACTTGAATGGAGATGGGGTTGAATTCCTGAAGGCTACCCAGGATGGTGAATCGTAGTGGCATCGACCAGCGCGATGCTGGGCCAAAGGCCATGTGGCAGTTCTTTTGCTCTATGCTCCAAACTTCTGATGAGGGCAGATTTTGGATTTGAAGTTTCCTATGGGGAGGCAGTTGGCTGCAGTAGGCTGCTTGGGGTATTCGGTGTCTTTGTGAAAAACACCACATCATTCTGTTAAGAGTCATCTTCTCTAACGCGATGACCTTTGCTTTGAACAGAAAATCGCCGCCACCATCAACCCAATGCATGCGCAGCCTGCTGCAACGGTAGACGTGAGCCAGTGAGTTCAATGTGAAAAAGGAGTTGGGATGTGTTCTGCCCGTCCACCCATGGTCCAAAACCCCTCCAAGACAGGCGAGAAGGATCTAGCCTGTCTTGGTGTCATTCTGCCGGCCACTTCTGCCCTCTCCAGGTACATGCCAACGAATGTCTTGGCCATCCATTCCTTGGGTGACGCGCAAGAGCTGCTGAGTGTGACTGACATGCTTATCCGGGATTGGGTACTTGCAGCACCTGTGATGATGAATCTCACCAAAACTTGACTCAACCATTCACGTAGCACAATTACCGGGCTCAGTTTCACTTCAGCTGCCCCTGGATTTACTCATGCCGGCTCGTCGGGACCCCTTCCAAGTAGCGGTTCAGCTGATGAGGGCCAACGCACCAAAGGCCGGTTGTTCAATTGCATGCTCTATGTATATATAGCCAACGATGCCAGAAAAGGTGGATATCCTTTTTTGAACCTGTGCAGATCCTGGTGCTGCTGGTGCTATTGACTCTTTGGAATCAGCGGCTGAACCTGTCCCAGGATTGTTATTTGTGAGGGAGCTATACAGAAGATCATCTTCAGACCCCTGAAAATTGCAACTAAGGACGTGCGCAACCTTTATAAACTTAAACCCTATCGATTCTCATCGCAGGACTTTTGCTTCATCGAGCACTACGCTGGGTATGGTCAATTGACCAATGTGATGAGGGAGG